GCCCACTTCCTTCACCAATGTGAAAGGCAATGTGGTTATGCAAGTAAAGTATTGTAGCGTAGAGAAATTAAACAACTTAACACTATACCTGCTTTAACATTGTTCCGAGCAGTTCCCTTCTTGTGTGTTTTGTTAGCTTTTCTCCAGAAATACCGAGTGCAGTATACTATACGAGAAAGCATTTGGGAAATTTTTGTCATTAGGAACAATGAACAGGGTGGTCAGTTACATAGTAATTGAGGGCTGGTTTGGTTAAAATTTAAAAAAGCATACGTAGATTGCATAAGTGTGCATTTGACGCAATGTGCCTTGAAGAGATTTCAATTTTAAGCTGATATTTTTTTACAAACTATTTAACATATGATAAAGAGCGGACCTACGAGGACGCAATCTGGACGTCTTTTCATATAGAAAGGAAACCAATCGATTATACATTTCACATATCTTATCGAATTTAATGGGTTCTGTAAAAAAACAGTTCGTGCGAACTTTTATAGTTGCAACGTGCTCGACGCCAAACATAAGCCTAATAATGCAGGAGTTCCTATGGAAAACTCTGTCAAATGGTAATTGAGTCGGTCATTTAACATTTTCTCAAACAGACTCAAACGAACGACCTCCAAAATATGTGTATTTCATCACCGCAGTAATTAATGGGGGGCAGACGAGTCTATTTAAACTCATAATTCAATTCTACCCACTGTACACTTCTCGTTTTTCTTACAGTTAGTATTGACATACCGAGGCATTGGTGATATCTTAAAATATAAAAGGTATTGGGACATGGGATAGTATTTCACAGGATTGGCAAGAGCGAGTAGACAAATTACCTCTACAACTAGTTCTTAAGGCCACTGCTATCGTCGTTGCCACTATAATCATCACGGCCACAAAAAAGCATTACAAGTGCAAGGATTACTACACCTTCGAGGTCTACTTTAATTAGCAGTCATTTCGGATTACACGCTTGGTTCGCGTATAAAAATTAGTGAAATTTTTGGGACTAGGGCAATTCATTAAATAGGCGGAACTTGCCTGGCAAAAGACCGTCAGGAATCGCAAGAAGCCAACCAAGGACATCATACCGGCAAGAAGCTTAGCTCTCGAGGGAATTCGTTTGTTGAAAAGTGGTTCAATGTATAACTGCAAACAGAAAAATCGTATACACTTTTATGTACCACCTATCCGCCAATATCAGGTAAGACATTTGAATGACATAAACCAAGTGTTTATATTACACTTATCCGATTTAGCTATACTGTGCATTCACTAATTCTAAAACTTGCGTTTTATCAGACTCAGTTTCGAAATACGATGATTTTTCGGCAGGAGTAAAGTTGGTTGCCTACCATTGATTCCCTGAACCCCAGAATTCTGTCTTATGCGACCGGCGGTATCAATTTAGTTTTAACTTCACTATTCTGTGCATTTTATCATTGTTAGTTTGAGTTTAGCTTAGGTTATAGTGTTCTTTAGCTTAGCTTAGATTGGTCAAGTTTTTTTTAAATCAACTGGGATGGCACTGAGGTGATCGCCCTGGCTAATACGAGGCAAGCTAGAGAATTCCTCGAAGCTTGGCACTCGAGCCCGACGAGTATTAACAGACACGTAGAGCTTGATTCACACTATACCGGCCTTCGCGCATGGTCGACTAACCTGCGCCCGGCGTGAGACAACAGTAGGCTGTACGTGCTCGGTCAAGTAGAATTTCACTGACTCTGAACCAACCCCCCCCCCTTTTTCCCGAACAGGTGGCCTACAATCCAAACCTTAACATCTCCCTCCCCTCACCAGCATAACCTCTCGCCGCAGTAGTCACGTCACTGTAACCCTCCCGCCTAGTCTCACCACGTTCGTTGTAACCTTTGCCCCCAAAACCTCTAGTACGACATTCCCAGCCGTCACTTTTCATTCAGCCTGACGACAAACAAGTGATACCTGTTCTAAGATTCACGAGTACAACTCGATTTTTCGAAGATCTTTTTTATTTTCGCCATATCATTTCGGAATGCAACTTACTTCACTTACCCAGTTTAGTATGTATCTAACGTTGGCGATATCTTACTCAACTAAAAACTGAACTACACTTAACCTAAATTACACTATCAAACTAATTAATAAAATAAAAACTGAACGAAAACTGATAAAAATAAAAGTAATCACAGAACTAAAACGCGCGACCAACTTAACTTTTAGCAAATAATATAATGTTCACACCCCCTGCGTTTATCATCTGTATCCTTTTTCTAGCAGACTCCACAAAATGTGCTTACGTCAAAAGTCTCGGCATAAACGATAGCGAAGCATGGCTCCAGTATTCCGCTTCCGACTGCCATGAGGAAGCCGATAGAAAGCAGACCTGCATAGGGTTTGCTTAACTTTAGCGTCCGCCAAGTGACTGAAGAGCCCTAAACGATTGCCAAACAGATAGTTCATGAAGATGAAGAAAGAACATTAGACGCAAGCTTTATTGGTTAGAATTTGACCGATCTCGATGCCAATAGG